CTGTAGAATTGTAACATTATGATTCTGCCTTAAATTGCTATGGCTGCATCCTATGAAATCCTGGGGTTTGCAGCTTAGTCAGAGGTCCTAGAGCAATCTGGCTGAGAATTTTAAATGGTCCTTCCCTGAACTGCAAATCCCAAGATTCTATAAAATGGGGTCAAGACATTTAAAATAGAATCATAAGGCATAATGTGAAAGAGCCCAATGTACTGATGAAAGTGAAGTATAAGGTAAAGTTCAAAAACTAGCAAGTTGGAATATGGACACTACATGGGAGTGGAAATCCACTCTGACTCCTGGCTTACATAATTCCTATTAGTGGAGTAGAGCATATCTTGAAAGCTTGTAGTGGATTTCAAAATGACACATCCTGATTCAGGGACATTATTCAACATTATTGGATGACTCTGGGTTCTATCAGTATGAAAGATGGAGGAAAAATCTCCCCAAATGCTATATTCTTGCTCCCACCTCTTGGCCTTTTTCCTTCCCCATCCACAAAAATATTTATATTACCTTTGTGATTATATTTTTATGTAAACTGCTATGGAAACATGACTGAAGGGTGGTATATATTGCCTATTAAAAAAGAATTATCCCAGATGCTATAAAAGATAGATATAATGTGAAGAAATATTCTTTTGCACTGAGAAAACCCCATAAACATACCAACACCACCGTATTCTTTTCTGCTTTCAGATAACCTGTTCCTCAATGACTTGTGTTTTAAGATTTATTGTTGTTGAGTGACTTATGGCAACCCTAAGGCAACCCTATCATGGGGTTTTCTTGGCAAGTTTCTTCAGAGGGGGTTTGCCATTGCTGTCCTCTGAGGCTGAGAGAGCGTAACTTGCCCAGGGTCACCGAGTTGGTTTCATGGCTGAGCGGGGATTCAAACTCTGGTCTCTGGAGTCATAATCCAAATGCTCAAACCACTACACCACACTGGCTTCATATGTTTTAATGTACTCCTATGCATCTATCAGGGAACCATTGTGTATCCCAAAGGATTCTGGGCTATGTTTTAGATTGGAGCACATACTCCATTTACATAGCACATTTGGTCTCCTCTTGTGATCTGGGCCTAAAATACACACAACGTTTTCTGGAACGATGCTGTTAAACTACTGTTATAAGCTGATGCATCAGTGTTGGAGTTCAATATTCTGCCTTTGACTTGTTCTTCCAAAATCTTTCGCCAACACTGATGGCAATTATATCTGGAGAGAGGAAAAATACTGCCCATTCCCCAAGAGTCAAGACTGATCCTCTTGTGACTACTGCCAGGCACTTTAGGTGGAAGATGACATCAGAGGCAAATTCACTCATCCCCAAAGAGCAAGCCATAGGTTGGCATAGATGCTATCTGAGTGTTTTGCTCTTTACAGACAGTATCCTCAGGCCTTTCTTTTGGAAATCCAGTGTGTTCAGCAACTGCTCCTACAATCTGTCGACACCAGTCTAGTTACTCATCATTATTTCTTTTCCAGTCTTATACAAGGATCTGCCATTCACATTTATTTTATCTTGTCCCCTGGGAGCAGTAGAACAGCAGAAAAGGTATAAATGCCTATGATTTTATGATTCTGTCTGTGGGATTTTTGTTTTGTTTTGACTGAGCCGCTCATTGAACCAACAGGCGCAATTAATATGACTATTTTAAAAAGTAGCGTTTCTCCACTGTTTACAGGGTGACTAATGTTATATTAATTGCAGGGAATCTTTTGTTTTTGATCTACACACCTCTAGGCTGCAGGTGCACTACAAACAGAAATGGCTTTTGCAGTAGTTTTGAGTGCAAACAGAGTGATCAGACACCCTCCTTTTCCAGGAGAAATGTCCTCCATTTCAACCTTCTGTCCAGGAGGAATTCCAAAATGTCCTCCATTTTGAACAAGACTTAAGAAGCACACATTTATATTTCTAGGGATGTTTTGAGCTTTCATTTGGTAATGTCCTCCATTTACTTGGAATGTCCCACATTTTGTGGTGCCTTGTCCTCCTTTGTGGTGAGGCTATCTGGTCAACCCTGATTGCAAACCGACCCCCACCCAAATGATGATGGCTGGAAGGTGTTAGGATAGTGCAGTGAGTGCTCTTGGGTGTGTGGAAGGCTCCAAAACAGGACATCTTGTGGACAGGGGCAAGGTAGATATGACTTGGGATTCAAGGGATCCAAAGCCTCTCTGTTCACCTAGATGGGTGCAACTTGAGCCCATTAGCTCTGCCAAACTTGGTGCTACTGTAAATAACCATTTCTTCTCTCACTTTGGGCAGAAGGAGGAAATTGAAAGAGACAATTGGAATTCACCAGCCTGAAAAAGAAAATAAATTCTCTCTCTCTCTCTGGAGTTTATCACATGGGGGAAATCCCATGCAGAAACAGGATTTAAAAGCTGGGGAAAGCCCACAAAAGTAGGTTGATTTTCACACATGTAGTTGTTAAAGTGTTGTTAAACTGAACGGAAAGTAGTCAAAAGCCACTTCTTTTTACTTTTGGAAAATGCCGAAAGTAAAAAGGAGCGACTTTTGGTGACTTTCCATTTGGGTTAACAACAGTTTAATGACAACATTGTGTGAAAATCAACCTGCTTTTGCGGGTTTTCTCCAACTTTTAAATCCCGTTTCTGCACAGGATTTCCCCATGTGCTAAAGTCACACACACAGAGAGCAGGGGCCTATTCACACTTCACAAATGTAGTGCTATTATCCTTCTTTAACTGCCATGGTTCCCTCCTATGGAACTCTGGGATTTGTAGTTTGATGAAGCACCAGAGTGCTCTGGCTGAGAATTCTAAATACTCCTCCTTACACTGCAAGTCCCGGGATTCTATAGGACAGAACCATGGCAGCTAAAGTGGAACAATAGTGCTATATGTCAGTTATGTGAATGGACTGCATGTTGCCTGTCTAGTACAAGCCAGAAGGGCTTACGTTCCATGGGAGATATAAGACTGGATCGCTCCCTGGCCTTCTTAAGGACTGTTTCACTTTTTGACAGGGTTCAAGTAACCATAAAGCATGTGGTTATGGGAAGATGCTGAGAAATCTTAGATCTTAACATGGGGGTCCATGGAAGTCTGTCTGTTAAGTGGGTACAAAAAATTATATATATGATACTTTGATCCCCCCCCCCTCCCCGGCTGTAGTTCATTTTACGGTAAAAATCTGGTGTGTTTAAGTGTTTATTATAGTTTTTTCATTCCAAAATAGTCCATCTAAAACAAACCAATTTCAAATGCAATAAAAAGATAGTATGCAAAATGTTGTGTGTATATATTTATGTGTATTTTTCTGAGAAAGGGGTCCAAGGTTAAGAATTAGAGTTGAGTTAGGGATTAAAATTCTCTAGTGTTCATGAGGCCAGCTCCATGAAAACCCCATGAAATATGTTCTGTCACTGTGTATGTTTGAATAATAAGCTGTGAGTGACTGCAGTTGCTGCTTAAAGCATACTGCCTACTGACATCTCAGGTTTTACTTGGGAAATCTCAGAGGCTGGGATAATCCTTACCAGGCAACTCTATTAAGAAATAGTGTCTTGGGGCATGTCTACACAGGCCAAATGAAATTATTTCTCCTTGTCCTCATGGCAACCTGTTTATACAACACAGGGCTAATTCCCTGATTTGAGTGTGGACTGTCTTCATGATGTAAGGCCAATTCGGTGCCAAATCCATGTCTTAAATCAGTTTGCTCCAGATTTTTCAGGAAAAGCAAGAGCGCTCCATAGCAACACCAGGCAGCTAGCTACACACGTGTCCTATTATGTTGTCTGGCATACTGGCATTGGCACAAATTGATCCCTTTGAGGTCACAACAAAACACTCAACCATGTGATTGACAATGAATTGACATCAGAGGGAGCAACTTATGCCAGCAGCAGCAATGGGCAACATAGACACATGTGTAGACAGCTACCCGGCATTGCTAGTGTGTGGAAGTAACAGGGGGAAGGGGGAATCCAGGAGAGCTCTGGGGCCAGACAGTAATCATAGAATCATAGAATTGGAAGAGACCACAAGGGCGAGGCAATCCAACCCCCTACCATGCAAGAACTCACAATCAAAGCACCCCCCGAGAGATGGCCATCCAGCCTCTGTTTAAAAATCTCCAGAGAAGGAGACTCCACCATTTTCCGAGGGAGTGTGTTCCACTATTTAACAGCTCTTACTGTCAGGAAGTTTCTCCTAATGTTGAGGTGGAACCTTTTTTCCTGTAATTTGGATCCATCACTCTGTACCCTAGTCTCTGAAGGTGCAGAAAACAAGATTGCTTCATCCTTAATATAACATCCCTTTAAATATTTAAACATAGCTTTCATGTCATCTCTTATATTTCTAATAATTGTCTTTAATTTGTTTGGTTTGATTTGTTTTT